GGGTTTACGGTTAAGGGTTAAGGGTGTAGGGTTTAGGGTACTGCCCCCACGATGTAAGAGTTGGATAATATATACAGTATAGTTAAATATCGCCCTTTACATGACTCCTAACATTGACTGTTACAGGGTGGGGCAGTACCCAAAGGACAGGTGCCAGATATGTAGCTTCAATCAGCTTTGCCATCACCTTTGCCTAGTTAGATTGTCCACTTGGACCCCCCGCGGCACCCATGTGGTGGTTTCTCTCAAGAATCCCTGCAGAATGCTCCAAGAAGATCCCGATACATCCAAATAAACTAGAATGTCCTTATACTTCCAACATGTAACTTTGGTCCCCTGCGGTATCCCTTTGTTGAGAAATCCCATTCTGCCATAAGACCCTATTCAAGTCCCTATAGGCCCTACCTTTTCCTGGTAGTCAAGTCCAGGTGAGCAAAGGCTGGCATGTCTGGTGGCGCAACAGGAAGCCGACGAGCATCGGAAAGAGGCGCTAGCTGCAGTAGGGCTTAGGGTTTAGGGTCTGGGGCTTACGTGAGGCCGTGGGGATTGTCTAGGGTTTTGGGTTGGGACCCCCGTGTACTGGGTATTGTATTTAGGCCCTGTACGGTTTCAGGTTTAGGGTATAGTATATAGAGGCCTGTCGGAGAGTCCTAGTACTTTCCCCTCTCATATAATTGGGGCTATCTCAAAGTTTTCTCTATATTTCCTCAAAGAAGGGCCCCATAATCCCCAATATCCTGCAAGGGGCTCCCACTTGTAGAAACTCACATGTCATGTCACTTTGCAGCATGAAAAGGGGACATGTAGCTCCCAGGGCGCCGTGTAGTGCACAAGCCGATATAACTGGCTTCATTTGTTGGTAATTTATGGGTTCTCCTATAGTAACCACCCTCCTCTACTACCCCCCGCCCCGACGTTCGCCCTTCATCAACCTTATTTAAGTCTGAAAAACATTGTGCTCACCTGAAGGGTGTCCACATTTGGGCTCCAAAGACCGGTCTAGCTAGGCGAAGGCAGCGAGCACACGTGGTCGTCTGAAGAAGTCTGAAGACCCATTCCCGGCAGAGAGACGCGCGGGCGTCCGAAGACATCCCCTGAGAACGCTGCCCTGGCCAAGACGCTTCCCGGAGCGAAGCCACGTGGACAGCACAGGAGACCTGCTCAAGACATGCCTTGGAGGGCACGCCCTGGAAAGAAAATCCATGGGTGTGCAAAGACACTTCCTGAAGACAGGTCGGCGAAGACACGCGGGTCACGCTGCGTCCCCGGACGAGGCGCCAAACAAAGCATCAGAAGCTCAAGCTTCGTCACGAAGACACGTGTCGTCATCGGATCTGGCACCACCACCGGGCGTCAGACCACCGTTCCAGGTTACTTGTCGTGCTAGGACGTGGGGTCAGACGCGGTGGACCCATTTAGCGTTGCTGGATGTGTTTCAGTAGGGTCGCGGTCTCTCGGCGGGTGTCTTCAGAATTTGTTTTCAGTTGCAGGGCCACATGTGGTCACCCACAGGTCAGGGCACCGGAAATACAACGGTTTTCACAAGACCCTACATAATCCCGAACAGGACCCCCACAATCCCTAGGCCCTACATCCCAAGTTCCCCAGGAGCCCCTTTCCTGAGAGACTCCAATGAGGAAACCTCAGCCCGTGAAACCGTACCTTGAAACCCCCGCAAACAACCCCATAAAGTCTTATCTACAGCCGTATTAACTTACCCCGGTACAACCTGATATTACATTATTACACCATATTACTTGCATATGAGCCATTGTCTAAGCTCCTAGTATCCCCCTTAATAGCCTCCATAATGGGTCCCTATATAATCCCCTATAAAGCCCCCTTTAAGCACTTTAGACTATGGCTCATGTAATCCTAATAACCCTAAGGGTCCAAGTACCTAATAATCATATACCTGCCCAAAACCTGTACTATAATTACTATTACCCAAATCCCAAGTACCTAATTATTGGGTACATGGCTCATATTACTCCAATATATACTCTATCATCCCTATATTACCCCCACTATTATAATAGTCTCCATTTTCTTTTCCATTTTCCCTATATAATCCCTTATATAACCCAATATAATCCCTATAAACCCCTACATAATCCCAGTTTCCATTTCATTTTCCATTTTCTTTTCCATTTGATTCTCCATTGTAATTGGGGGGGGGGTAATATCCCTATATGGCCCTAAACCCTAAACCCTACACCCTTTATATCCCCATATATCCCTATATATCCCCTTTAAAGGGACCTAGGGTAAGGAAATTTTCAGGTGGAGGCGGAGCTTTTGGCCGCCATCACGGCCGACGCGGACACGCTCCTGGCCGTGCTGCTTAGGGCTGAAGCTGCCAAAGCCGACCCAGAGGCCGGCACTGTGAGTTCATATGAGCTATAGTCTCCATTTTCGGGGTTATGTAGGGGATTATATGAGGGAGTATTATAGAGGTTATTAAGGGGATACTATAGGAGTTTAGACTGGCTTCCAATTATCGGAATTGCTCTGTCTGGGTTATATACGGATTGTATTCCAACAATGGCGGATCGAACGGAAAATCAGAAGGAACGTGACATGGAAGCTATGGTTGTCGGAAGTTTCTCAGAAAGGGGGGGGGGCTCGTAAAGACAACAAAGGATCTTTGGGGATCATTACGGGATTATGGGTCCCCTTGTTGATTGGGGATTCGAGGATCCCAATAGGTTACATACATTCATGAGTAGGGCTTGGCAGGCTTGGCTGCCGTGCAGATGTTTCATTAAGCGCTGGTTTCTTTGCTTTTTATTTTGGGTCAAGCTTGGCAGTTGAGCCAAAAAGGCTGTCAAGGAATTGTCTTCTCCCCGCCAACCCTCCCTGTACGAGTGTTCTCCTGTGGAGCACCTCTCGTATAGGACTCTCTCAGTGTAAAGGGCAGCAGCGCAATATTGCGACCGTTTGCAAAGTCCTGTGGAAGGCAGGGCCATGGAAGGGCGGGTGATGCATTCACCCAGAACAAAATCCTAAGAGGAACCCAGGTTTTCAACACATGTAGGAGGACTGTGAAAGCTGAAGCGAGAGAAGACAAACATACGAGCACACAGGCTTTCGATTGGAGAAGACAAGTGCTGAAAGTTGTATGTGGTATGTAGTACACAAGAAGCGGAAGTATAGTATGGTGTTTAGTGCAGCACGGTATGGAGGATGATCTAGTCCAGTGCAGGACATACAGTACAGTGATTTTTCTGATTTCATGCACATGTTTATGTATAGCCATATGGACTGTATGGTGATGTGTAGAGACACCTCGAGTTTCAGGAGTTGGGGGGGTAAGAGTGAACCTTGCATTTATGATGTGAGTAGCTATATGGGGGCTGAAGGAAAAAACTACAGAATCCCTCGGCGTTCCCTCAAGTTTTAGTAGTAAAGCGAACACATGAAACCATATGACCGCCACATTTGTCAAGCGGCCCTTCTCAACCTTTACGTAGAGATGGTCTTGATACGTAATGTATAAGCCGGAGTCACGAGCAACATTACAACCCCTGAGTAAGCCAGTTTCCAATAATTGTTTTTGCATGTATTTTCCGGTGACTCTCTACTATGCGGGTAATTTTCTTTCAAACCTTACGCCTGCAATCCCAAACCTTTCATATGCCATATGATGTCCCCCTCTTCGATCTGACTCTCCACTTTTCAAAACATGTTAAGCCCCGACATCCTAGAAGCCTTTACACGCTTTTATATCCCTATATAATTCCCATAAAAGGGACCTGAGCTTTTATTCACCCATATGATTCTACGTTATGTTGGCTGACCAGGTCTGCTCGCGGGCGCGTGAGGCGCTTTTGCGCATGAAACGTGACGGCTTCAGTAGATATGGATGTTTCTCAAAACGTTCCCTGCGCAACCCGTCCTATGGACACCGCGCTTATGTTCCCTTCACATCCTTGGGGCTCTACAGGTGTCCCCGATGTTGAGAAACTCCCAATTGGGGGGCCCTTTCAAGCGGGTTATACAGGACGGTTCCATAGAGGTGTCTAAGGTTGATTCAGCCTTTCAGATAATGGGATCCACATGCTTTGTGAAACGCCAGAGAAGGAAACTTGTGTTTAAGCCTTAAGCCTGGCAGTATCCGTTTAGAGGCTGCCCCATCTTCAAACCCTAAGCCTTCAGAAAGAAACCATAAACCTTAAACCTTCAGAACACGTCCCTCACTCCTAAACCTTAGAAGCCTTCATGAAAAGAAACCCTGAAGCCTGAACCCTGAGACTGCTGATAGAACCCCAATATATACCCTATTATAATCTAGTAGTTTCCATTTTCTTTTCCATTATCCCTATATTACCCCAATAATATACCCTATATTCTATCTACTTAAGGGGGATATACCCTATATTCTATCTACTTAAGGGGGATATACCCTATATTCTATCTACCCAAATCTTTTCCAGCCACCAAGGAGACGTTTTGAGGCGGAGCAAGCCACCGAGGTGCTGGTTGCAGCCATGGCGGGTGCGGACGCAGAGGCGATGGGCAACAATATAAACCCTATAGTCCCCCTTAAGTAGATAGAATATAGGGTATATTATTGGGGTAATATAGGGATAATGGAAAAGAAAATGGAAACTACTAGATTATAATAGGGTATNNTTATAGTCCCCCTTAAGTAGACTCGAAAATCAAAGCTGATATGAACACTTGTGAACAAGATAGAAAAGGAGACAGAACATGAGATGGGGAAAATGGGATCAGATTGCATTTTGTAAGTAGGGGAAACCCCAATTTTAACCACACGACATACTTTCCATTTACCCGTACTTCTCAGCTCCTAAATCCGAAGCCCTGGGATCTTGAATCCGCTGCACCTTGAACCCCGAACTTGCTGGTTCTTAGGGGAATATAATCCTGTATATCATATTCCCTTCTTCCCCCCAGGGAAGCGAAAATAGTGCTAATCAATTTCTGGTCAACATCACAAAGTTTCTCATGCCATTCTGATCGCAGAGGCTCATTGAAGGAATGAGGCCTCTAGCTTTGGAAAAGAAGTGTTTCTGGCGCTCTGGACTATGTCAGCGATTTTCCACAAGACAAACACGCAATAAAGCGTTGCATGTCTGCTGAATGGAGGCTTTAACTTGTTTTGCACTCATGGCAATCCAAGATTCAGGCGTGATTTGAAAAATGCAACCGAGCTATAGTCTAAGCTCCTCAACGGGTTAAAACTGGGGATTATATAGGGGACCCCCATAGGGCTTATTAAGGGGGATACTAGGAGTTTAGACTATAGCTCGACTGATGCAACATGTATGTGGAGGGCTATGGAGCAAAGCCTGGTCTCAAGGATCAAGTACTTGCTGGGCTCGCATTGGAACAGTGATATATATATATATGTATATTCCAAACTCCGGAACACTATAGAAATGCTTTATATACATTCCATGTTCTTGCTTTTTTCTTGAATTTTCTCAGAAGCTCGGAGGCTCTGGAGGCAGCCTTAAGCCGGGCCAGGGAGGCGGAGGTGGACAGCAACCTCCTCCAGGCCCTGGCCTTCTAGGAATCCTCAGGGGGATAAAGGGGAACCCATCAATCAGTACTGCCTATGGCCCACCTCAGGGCCACTAAAAGGCCCGCATGGTCTCCTGATACTGGTCCCCCATGTATGGAATCCAGTTACGGCGTCCTTAACTTTGGAATTCCAACAAAGTGGACCCCATTGCATCCGCGCTGGTTTCCGGTGAAGAGGCTATGGAGATACAATAGGCATACATTGGATTACCACAGTCCTTGGGCTGAGGGTTTATTTGGTCATTGTTGGTTAAAACTGCTCATCGGCTAATGTTTGTTGAGCTAATTTGTTGTCTTATTGCCATCCCAATTAGGGACTAGTATGGAGACCACGGTCTGTTGAAAAGGAACCTATGCCAGGTGCCATGTGTGCTTGAGTGTGGTATCACGGAAAGGATTCATTTGTCGCTCAGCCCTTCCACTGATACTAAAAACAGTCTCAATGTTGGTCGTGCATGGTTGTCAAACCAGCCCTCTCCCCTTTATATATATATATGTATATATATATATATATATGTGCATGCATCGTTTGTCTCACGACGCTCCCACTATACATACACATAATACGCACACACCAAGTGATCTCCACAGCAGTGCTGACAGCAAGGGCTACTAGTGGCAACCACAATACCAGCATGGCAGCAATCGTAAGCAGTAAAGTAAGTTTGGTAGGAGTAGCTTACTGGTTCTTAGTATTAGAAAATGAGGGAGCATGATGTTTGGGGATTATAGGGATATTCCCTTATTCTAAGCCCTAAACCCTGAACCTCTGTATACAAGGATGATATCCCCTCCTGAAAACCAGTAAGGTAGGTATGGCTTGCTTTTAGTTTTCGACACCTATCCCATCCAGGATGCAGAAGCTGCTCTCCAGGCTGGTGCGAAGGGTCGGGGCTGTGGTGTCTATTGTGAGTATTAGTACAAGTGGTCTTGACACGAAGTCTTCTTAGAATCCATGCTACTCCTGTTTTCTTAAGCCCCAAGTAAGCCTAACCCCAAAGCCTTTGAGTAACAAACCCCGATCTAACAAACCACGACTAAAGCTGCAATCAGACCAACGATAAAAGGCTTCTGATCAAACCGGGGTAACCCAAATCCCTTCTTAATCCCCTTCTTTAAATATTAAAAGCCTCCCTGTATAACCTTGCTGTAAATATACCCATCGTGGTACACAATATCATATTTACCTGGAATATTTAGTATGAGGGGCTTGGAGGTTTCAATGTCAGTCCTGAACGCTAAATATGGTGATTGCAATTTAAATTTTCCTTTCCATCCCCTACATGCCCCTTTGCAGTCTCATTATAGAACCTACATCGCTAAACCTTAAACCCATGAACACTAAACGCCAACCCCCTAAAACCTAAACTCCTTCATTGCCTGAAGCCTGGATTGACAGTATGATTGGCCATGGGGTAGTTAGTCAAAATATTTGTGCCCAAAACGACCATAAGGTACCCATTTTACCTTTCTGGTGTTAATCCCCCTTTGGGCAAATGTAACCCCAATGGTCCCTCAGGGTCCCTCCTTTACACGTATCCCTACGTAACCCCTATAAGCCCCTTTACAAGAACTTTCGGAACATCCCCCCATTTGCGGAGGAGCTGCGGGAACTAGCTCTGCAGGGGCCGCAGCGACGGGAGGCCGGGAACTTAACATGGAAGCCAAAATAAGTTCTCCCTGTAAGGTGCTTATAGGGGATATATATATATATATGTATAGATAGGGTTTAGGGTCTAGGGTTGCGATTTTGCGGCTAAGAGTTTAGGATGAATTAAGGATTTCGGATTTAGGGTGTAGGGTGCAGCGGTACTCCCCAAGAATGGAAAAGTGAATGGACAAGATGGAAAACCTAATAAATGCTGGTTTTTACAGGAGTCGAGATGCCTTGTATAAGTATCGTCCTCAGGACTTGGTGTTAAAGGGTCATTTGGCCTAAACCTAAGGCCTACACTTAGACCTTCAATCCAAAACTCCAAACATATGGCCAAACCCTGAAGACCTTCAAAGCTTGCTGCTTTGATTTGCCCTGAGGCGGAGGCCGAATTGCAGGCTGGACGCGGCAGGGGGCCGGAAACAACAATCCAATATGATATAGGGATTTCCCAAAATCAGGGTACTGTTTTGAGGGATCCCCATAGTAAGAATTATAGCGCTTGAGGATCTATACCGGGGTCTCCCTATTTCGGGAAACTACCGTATTAACCCCTCCCCTCCTGAAGGTTTATGTACACAACATAATCTACTGCAATATAGTACCATGCAATATAGTGTAACACAATGCAACATGGTACAACATGGGTTGTTCTTTTTGGTGGGGGTGGGGAGGGTTGCTTACAGTGACTACGCTTCTAGATTGGGCGTTTGGAAAGAATCGCTCGACGAGTCATGAAGAAGCAGCTCGTGACAATAGGTGAAACTCAAAATTTGATGGGCTGTTGTGACTCTGTCTTGGCTCATGACTTCAGACCATTACCCACCCAGTAGAAGCTCCCATCTTAGAAATGAAGCCCCCATCCCCCTGTAAATTATCAATATCCTCAATACATATGATAGACTACAACAGGAACGGAATATTTGATGTCTGGAAGTTGGAGAGTTTTCGACATGGGGGAGGGGGATGTGATTACGACATGTCACCCCGCCTGTTCCTACTTGCTGGTTTTTACTTCCTTGATCCGGCAAGAGAGCTGCTTTGGAGAGAGGACAGGATGATAGTCACAAGGCAATAAAATGAACATAATTAAGAAAAAGGTTTGGAGTTCTGGTAGGCCGAGCAAAGATTTCCGTATCTGAACGCACGCTTTGCAAGAGCAAGTGGGAATCCTTGTTTACACTGAGCCGGCAGAAGGTGTTTTGATCTTTGGAGTTGAACTCCGAGAATCTCGGTGAGAACTTATTTCTTCCATGTTGATTTGCGCGCTCCACCCGTGACATGTAGGGGCTTAAGGAAGTGCATAGATGAATCCACACTCTCCTGTTGCCATGCAGTGCTTGCTTTGCGTTCCCCAAACTTTCAGCCAAAGAGTCCTCCACTGAACCGGAGCTACCACAGCCCACGGTCCCTCACATCCAGTGACCTTCAAACTCCCCAAATCGATCCCTAAATCCCCAAACCCTAAAGCTTGGACCCTAGCTTGAGAGTACAGGCTGCCATTGACAGCGGTGACCTCGCAATGTTGGAAGCTGCGCTCGCGAAAGCGCGGTCTCTGAAGGTCTCTGAGGACGCTTCTCTGCTGAAGATGCATATAGAACAGGGTCCCCGAGAAAACTCGTAGAGCAGCCGCATAGTTGCTCTGAGAATCCCTGTGCATCCTCCGGGACCCCAGGGTTGATTGGGTGATTAGTTTGGGCGCATGCTCAACGGAGTTTTGCTGGATGGAACGCATGTGGGATAAGGGTTGCTGGCTTAGAAGACTGAGTTCAATTCCCCATCCCGTCCCAAATCTAAATGACCCTAGAGCTCTAAAGTGGAACGCCCTCTACCCCCTCTGCCTTGACAGGTAAGCATACATGGAGGATTAGACGTAGGATGACGATATGCGAGACCAGTTATAAGTAAACTGTCTTGCGGTGCTTCTAGCTCTATTTATACTTGCGCAGCTACATAGGAGCCTCCAAGAAACGGCGAGGGTATGTCTGGACCTTGAGAGGCTATGATGAAAGAGCTCCCCTCACTTGCCCAATACCTTTGAACAAGTGACGGATTTACAACAGAGCCGTCTCCTTCACATACTGTTTTGAGAGCTTTCATTGACAAGGCCCTTCGCAACAAGACGCCCAAGTTCACCACAGGGTCTGACGCCATAGCAGCTGTGCCAAAGGTTCTAGGCGCAGCTCAAGCGGTGCTGCATGCTGCAGAAGCGCAAGCTTCTCTCTTCAGGGCCATGGAGGGCCATGACATCCAGGCTCGCGCCTTAATGGGCAAGGTTTCAGGAATTCTGAGTTTGGAGTAGGCGGAGCAAAGTAAGGGACTCCCAAATTCCCAGCCAGCATTTTCCCTCGTCTTCCAAACCCAAAGTCATCCAACACAGTGCATACAGAGGCTTTGACTAGAGCCGGTTCAGGTTCAGCTTTTTTGACCTCCAGGCACTCATGGCGGCCCTGCAGACCGCGTACGCTGCTGGCGTCGATTCTGGCTACCTGCAACTTTCTCGGCACTATAGGTGGGCTAGTCAGCGTCTCAATGAAACGTCTGAATTACTGTGGCGGCTGCCCTGTTGGGGTCAAAATGCATGCGTGTGATGTTGTCTTGGACACGCATGCTTGAGCGTGCTACCCGTGACTCATCATTTAATGCAAGAGCAGAACAACCAACAGGATGCAGTAGTCATGATATGTAAGTGGCACCGGGCCTGTTCAAAGAGACAAGACAGGAGCATACTTCATATGTCTCACAATGAGCTGCGAGCTTTAGTTACTATTTAGCTGTCCTACGCTCAGACCTACCTCAGTAGTACTAGACGCTTGTAACTTCCTCCAATAGTTATGAGTAATCGAAGAGAACCAGAGAGGAGCACCATGCCGAACATCCTGTTTCAGGGCAGTGCCAGTGTTTCCAAATTGTCCCCGTAGGCTTGTCCGTGTGATTCGAACATACATGTGTATATACATATTATACTTGTTTATGTATGTACGTTTACTTATACCTCCCATGTAGTTCCTCTAGATTTTCCGGTCACCTTTAGGCGTTGAACTATAAGCTCCACCAGGCATATGGCTGAGGAACGACTGCGTGTTCTGCAGGCAGACCCTGCAAGGGAGCAAGATTCTACCTTTCCTGGGTCGCTGTTAAGGAACTTACTCTAGGATACCATAATAAGGGTAAACAGTAAATGATAGGAATAAGGTTTCCTGGGTATGGTAACTAAAGCTAAGTGCCTCAACAGCAAACCAGTTTCTGGATGCACCCCTAAGTTATAAGTCAGCCCAAATAGCTATCCTGCCAAGACTCATTAGCTACCTCAACAGTCAATCGTTCACCGATTCTTGCTTCATCCAACAGGGGGCATTACGGGAATTGCACATGGCTTTGTGGAACTTTGTTCCAGAGTACCCTTCCGCGATGCGATGAGATGGCAACGTTGTTCGGTTTCTGCACGGACATTTTTAAGATAAAGTTCCCCTCCGTTAGCCAGAATGCTGTATGACGTATTCTTCTGTTTCCGAGCAGTCTAGACCTGGATATCCGTGCAAAGATTCTGGTGCTCTGGATATTTTCTTTCGGGTTGAGACTTGACCCCAAATTTCTGCTCAAAAGATGATAGGAGGACAGCGCTGGGAAAAGGCTTGCAGTGTAGCGCTTCAAATGAATGGCTTTGGCTTCCCAGGCAGGATTGCAACGATCCGTCGGGTGCTGTGTTCTGGCAGCCATGCCCAGCGAATGTGTACTCTGCGTTACCAATATCATGGTTCTAGATTCCTTGTATTAATGCAGTATAGGGTACCTTAGGCTTCAAAGTGATGTTGGTGATTATTCTAGCCCCTACATTACGTGGGTTGCCAGGCAGGACATGCGGAAGACGACATCTTGCACTCCTTGCAGCACCGCGCCCTCGCCTCATTTGCCCTTCGTTTTCTGCAGAAATTTCGGTCGAAATAGAAGCGTGGACCACGGTTTCATAGAGCCTTGCCCAAGCTTGCGCAATGCCGATCTTCATAACTCTTGTACATGTACACTTGTATCTAGCCTTGCGACCTAAGCCATTACCTAAACTTCAAAGCATGCTTTCATTGTCACGCTTCGAGATTAAACCAAAACCGTATAATGAACCCCAAGCCCGAGACATGAAGAGCCCACTGAAACTGAGAACTTTGCTGTCCAAGGTCAAAGCCATGGACGCTGAATATTGGCCCTCAAATCTGGGGCGTTTAAGTATCTAGTATGTAGTTTTTGTGCTACTCTGCACCCACCCTTTTTCCCTGCCAGGCCTCATCCCTCACCACACTCATCCCCGCGCCGCATTGAACGGGTGGGCGGTTAAGTCCCTCTTTTTTCATGTATGAACCTCTATACTTCCGTCTTCTCAAGCTTTTACTACTTCCATGCAACTCCTTCTGTAATTCCTTCCGTTTTATGTCCACTCCATATATAACTCGTTTGGAAATGCTAGGTAACTCTTCATGGCTCTTTCTTTCAGTCCTTTCCTCGTTTCTCATTTATTGTGCCTGAGACACCAGCCCGCATCACTGGGAAAAAGGTGGGGGAAAAGGTCCAACCACATATTGTGGTGTGCTGGCAGGCCCTCCGTGGGGAGGTGTGTTTGTTTGGATGTTTAAACTACGAAATAATAGATTTCGATATACAGAACTAGGGGAAAACCTACTTTGGGAATCTCGGAGTTGCATTGAAAGAAGAAGAAGAAGAAGGACATGTCAAGATTATATGGTAATTTCCGTCTCTATGGAATCATAGAGTTTTTCTGCAGATCTGCTAAGACTAGTTGGAGGCTTTGTGAGGAGTGGGAGAGAGAGCCAACCCTCCCCACCTGTGGTGTGACGGATGGCTGGGGCTGGGAGGGACGTTACCATGGACCTTACCATGGGAGGCGCACAACGCACAGTGCACAATCACCAAAAACCGTCGTCAAAGGGAATCACGAATCCACTTGATTAGGTTCAAGGCTCATATCAGGCCGAGTGATACCTAGCATGCAAGATAGAATGTGGATATAGATATACAGACAGATAGACAGACCCATAAGAGCCACTGAATTCTGTGTATAAGGCCCCGTTTAGGGATCCATGGTGGATATCTGACGCGAATCCCATTATAAACCCGATATAGCCGAATATAGCCCTATATGTACATACATGTACATACATATACATACATGTATATATATACATATGTATAGTAGTTTTCATTTCATTTCCCTTCTCCATTCCAGTAGCCTGGGTATTTTCATTCGCCCAGGAGACAGAGGAGATGCAAGCGAGGCCCCTGCAGCATGATTTGGAGGGTTTTGGCAATCCCGCAGGAACATAGGTACGGTTATAGGGTAAGACAGAATAGATGGTGCACAGGTGATAAAGGAAGGATCATAGGTATTGTCAAACGGGAACTGAGTTTGTTTCAAGGCTTATCTTAAGGGCTTACACAGGGTAACAAGAGGATGTAGGTACTGCCTCATAGTACTGTAAGGACCCTAGAAGAGTTTTATGATAGTCAGAAGTGCCCTTTTTGGCGGGGTTGGAGCTACCAAAGCTTCTTATTAGTTTGCCTTTCGGATTTGGGGGGGTTTTTGAGGTTTATGAAGGGCTCAGGCTCAGGGGGTTATGGATTGGGCTCAGGGTTTTAGGGATTATTGTCTAGGATCTGTTCCGTTAAGAATCGGTTTATAGTCAGAGTTTATGCATGGTTTTGGGGGGGTTGGGACCTTAAAGCGTATGAATGCGAGTTTCAGATTTAGGCACTTTCAAATTGGGGTTTGCGAAGTGGTTTAGGGTGCAGCGTCTGCAAGTGGGTCTTAGGCTTGAGGATCAGCTTTTCAGGACCAGGCTTCTGTGGGCTAATACGCTAGCTGCACGTAGTAATATTGGGTAGTTTGTGGGAACCCCTATGGGGTATCTACATGAGTCAGGCCGGGACACCTTACCTACATCAATCCGCTGACCGCTGCGCTATCCTAGCTTAATTCCTGCTTCAACACTGTTCTTGACTAGCTGTGAGGAGCAGAACTAGCAGTGATAGTAGTGGTGGTGGTAGTCGTGGCAGTAAGAAGAAGAGAAGATGGAGTAGGAGGGTACGTGTTGCGCAGGCGACCGCCACTCCATCACGCAGACAGCTCCGGTCACCCTTCGCTTGACGAAAGGCTTCTGCTACCCACTCACCTGAGTAGTATTTTATTTGGGGATACTATGGCACCCACTAGAGTAAGGTTCTATCCTCCTTTAGGTACAGTATTTGCATAAAGAATTTTTTCTTACTAGGTTCAACCACCAAAAAACGCTACTCACCTTTGGGTTATTGTGCAAGTGCCCTGTTGTAATTTCATGACCCAAAAAGGTCGCCAGTTATAATATATGCGTCGATTCCCAGGTTCTTTGTAGCCCCGAATACAAACTGTTGGATCATGAAAGGCATCCGGAAGGTGCCCACACAACCTTACTGGGGATTAGTAGGGAATAAAAGGAATATATTATATGGGGCTATGCCCGGATTATTTTCCCAAATTCAATTCCCTACCAATCATCAGTAAGTATTTGGGAATAGCTCATCTGCTTCCCCCGACTTCTGCACGGGAGAGAACTGTCCCTGACACGCAGTACAGGTGAAGGTCTCGGAGCCCAAGACCCTGAACCCTAACTCGCAAAACACTGAATTGGAAAACCAATTTCTGCTGGACACTGCCCGCACACTGTAACACTTGCACAATATTTATATGGTCATTATAATGATATATATTTAGCCTTAATGTGACTCCTGATATCGACTCTAACAGGGTCTGAGCAGTACCCAACCTAAACCCTAAATCCTAAATAGTAGCTTCCATTTTCATCTCCATCATCCTTATACAACCCCATTATATACGCGAGTCTATAATACCCAAGCCAAAAATTTTGCAGGGCCAGCCGTCCACACCTCATGCCTCAGCGCAGTGAGGGAGAGCTGGCCTTTGCCATGTCCTCGGACTGCCTTCAAGAACAGTGATTAGTCAGAGTGTGTATATATATATATACTTGGTTATAAAGTTGTTATATAGGGATGTTATTCCCTTAATGGAGAAGCTGGAAAAGATAGAACATTAAATGGGAACTGGGATTATTTAGGGTCTGGAATGGATTGATTACCCATAATACGGGGATAGTAGTAGGAGCGTGAACACTAGTAGGAGCAATAGTTTATAGTTGTAACAGCGGTAGTTATCAACAATAACATTAGACGTGGTACTTCTAGGTGAGTAGTTAACACGTGGGTACCTACCAGCTGGGTACCTTCGTCTACGGCTGGTGTACGGCCCGTATCCAGACAATGGACTTGTTTGAGTTCTCGCCCACCTGGACTTCTGTTCGATGCGAAAGTCGGCGCTTGGCAAGCTTAGTGTTCCATCTAAAAGTACTACGCACCATAGGCCCAAAAGGGACCAAGTGCCAAATCGAGGATTCATCGCAATTGAGAGAAGCTACCATGGCAGATGTGATTTGCAGAGCATTTGCAGAGCATCTTGAAACAGCCACGCAGCGCTGGAGAGGCCATGTCGCAGAAGGGTCAGAGGCACGCGCTGCCGTTTGTTCCATGCTTCATCGCTATCATCTGAAGATGGCAGTTTCCCAAAATAGGGGGACCCCAAGAATATAGACCCCAAAATATTATAACCAAAATATTATAAGCCGTATTATAGGGACCCACATAAACGAGCCCCTAAGTCGCAAGCTTTCAGGCCGGAAGACAAGCGAAGTGACAGCAAGGCCGGTGGCCCAAGCTTACATGAGATTATTTTAGGGTTAGGGATCATCTAAGGGTCATATAGGGATTATATAAGGGTTATATAGGTGTCATATAGGTATTATATAGGGATTATAGAAGGGTTATATGGGAGTCATGTCGGGATTGCATAGGGGTTACATAGGGATTCTGTAGGGATTGTAGACAGGTTCTTTGTGATGTCTACTGATTGGCTCCTGCCCTTGTGGCAGAACATTGCCCCTGGATCATTTAAGCACACTAAACACCAAAGCCTAAGCCCTAAACCCCTAAACCCTACACCCCTAAACCCCCCAACCC